TAAAAATTTTATTTTTTCAAAAATTTGTCCGGTAAAGTATAATTTAAACCTCACTATTAGATAAATAAAGACCTTAACTATTAGAAAAAAATTGAATTTACTCATAATCTAATATTTTTTATTTTACATTGGCGGCGAAAGGACCTCCTTAATATTTACTAGTTTGAATATTTCGTTTGAATTCGTGCTCTCATAATAGATAGCGCTCTAATAACAGGTAGCGTCACCTGTTGGATGCACTGGGTGCATCACAGTTGTACGTATTTTTAAAAATAGGGAATTTTATTTGTTCAGTTGGTCATATGAACAACTGTAAAATTGAACAGATGATCTAGTTTACATAGAATCATTTGTATTTATATACAATTATACGTAAATTTTTCTGTGCTTTTATTCATTTATATTCATCAGCATTTTTACAAACTTTCATATTTATTTGGACAAATTTTCATAAATCCAAACTTTCATCGATACCAAAGCAACACGAGCAGGCATAAATTATTTAAATTATTGTCTCTTATTGTATAGTTCCACGTGGAAATACTGACTATAGAAAACTACGATAGCGCTACTTGGACAGTTGTCTTGTAAGAACTATACATATACATGTATATATAATGTTGATCGAAATTTGAGAATTACTTACCGACTGTTCTGGGAACACGTGAGAAGAGAAGAATATTATATTTTAACACTAAATAAATAACAATTATTTATTGTACAATAAAATTTCATTAAAAAAAAATGTCACATTTAAATGAAAATCATATTAGCAGAAATTTGATAAATTTTATAATTTATTTTATTGAAAAAAAAAATAATTATAGAAAAATACCGACAGTTAACAACTTTTTGATCCTTTCTTCTTAAATAATCTATAGTCTGAAAAATTAATTCTAAAATATTGAATTTACAATTTTTTAGCGCTTCCAAAGATAAAATTTTTTTAATAAATTTTTCTTGCTATAATTTATTTATTTAAAAAATTATGAAAATTATCAGATGCATTACAATTGAAATATGATGATACTAAATCAACCGACATTCAACAATTTATGATTATTTTTTTCATAATTACATTAGTACTAAAAAAAATAGTATGTATAATTTTTTAAATTATTTAACTAACAATCTAAAAAGTCAAAAACCAAATTGGTAAATAATAGACACCCTAATATAACATATATGTTAATTTATCTAAACTAATTTTATGATGAAAATTTCACTTCATAAAATTTACTTGAATTTTGTATTCTAACTTATAATTTTGTTTAACGATAATAATTTTATAATTTTCAATAAACCAGATTTGAAAAAAAAAATTTTTATTTAATTTTTATAATTTGAATTAATCGCGGTGACTTTGGGCGACTTTAGCGCCACAGGTCGGCTACGCGCCGAAAAGAAAGTCTGGGTACCCTGAACATATGTTTCTCACCAGAATCCGTCAAGAGAGAACGTTCAGTTATAAAGCCAAGTTAATTTTTCTTTACGAGCGTATTATTGTGATAGCTAATCATTGTTTTCTTTGTGTTACGTTAATTTTTATTAATTTTTCTATTATATATTATTCTGTGACTTCAGGTATCAACGATCGAAAGAACTAGAGTCGCTTAACACAACTAAATATTGACTAAGTAAGTAAAAAATTTTCAAATTACATCCAACCTATATCCATTGAAAGTAAATTTAGTTATTTTGTCACAGGTGTCTATTTTATCATAAATAATTTTTGATACTATTTTTCATTTTCGAATTTACAAACTTTATAACAATGGAATCTCTAACAATCGAACTACGACCACAGCTCCGATCAGGTTATGTTTATGTTCAATTAAAACCTAACAAGCAAATTAACAGTATTAATATGCATCAAGATGGTGATTCAATGACTGCTAAAATTGACAAAAAAGAACTGAAATTAAATCTTCTGCCAATTGAAGTAAATTCGTCAGTTACATCGTTGCAATTTTTAGATCAGTGGGTTATTTTTCGCATTCAGTTAAGCCAATCTACTTTGTACGACTCAAGCGACCTTAGTAACAACAAAAAGACAGAAGTTTTGGCGACAGGCATTGACCTTCCTCCAGCTCAGAGGAATCTTGAGCTAACTTGCACTGGTTGTAAAAATTCTATAACTAAAAATGAAGTCTCATTTGAAAGAGTCTTGTCACTCCCAAGTGAAGAATGCGAACCTAGTGAATGGTTTTGCTGCTCGCACAGTGACGTCGATTACAAAAACATACTATGTCCTCGCACCAATGATTGTTTTTATGGGTCTCATTACTATGTTCTGAATACAAAAATATTAAAATCGGAATTAGTGACTGATGATAACGAATTGACCTGCAATCGATGTCTGTCGGTACTCGGAGCTGTTAATAATGATGGCTCGTTCAAGATTTGGAGTCACAGCTTGCAATTTGCGTCCTCAGAAGATTTGATAGCGTCTGGTGGGCAAAAAAAATCGCCTTTGGTTGATTTCAAGTTAGCGCTTAAAGAATTTGTAAAAAAAGGAAATTTATATGAAGAAATCCATTACTTTGCCTCTGAACAGGGAAAAAAAGTGTCGTTGCTTATCAAGATAATGGACAAAAATTTGTTGATGTTAACGCAATCTTCGGTTGAGAGTTCCCTGGAGGTGATGTTGAATGAACAACGTGTGATAAAAGTACTGTATAAGGTCTTAGATGATGGGTCGGAACCTTCAAAAGATGCCTCGAATTGCAGTGCTTATCGAATAAGTTTGTCGAGTATTCGTGCGGCTGTGGATCATCTTACAGCATCATCGCTAAAACTTCCACTGATTTATCGTACTACGGAGACTTATTGTATTGGTTATATTTTATGAATAAATTTGTAATTGTACTTTGTTTTTTTATTAATAAAATTTCATGTTTAAATTTAAAATTTTGTTTATTTATTTCATTTTTAATCATGGAGCAATTGCTCCTTATGACCTGCTTACATCGGTACATAAAATTTGAGTACATTTTTTTGTTTTTTTTTTTAATAATGTATAATTATATGAGTGCCATAGTATAATAAGTAATAAAAAAGTAATAATATAATGACAATCAATTGCAAAGTTAATGATATAACTTAATTGTTGTTAGGCTTCTTTTCATATTATCTTAATGTAAATAAAGTTTTAAAGATTTCGTGCAAGGGGAATACTTCTTTCGATGAAAAAAATATCGAAAAAATAGTGCAAAGTTTGAATTTTTTTTTTTTTGAGCTCATTTAATTTTTTAACTCGGCACTTTATTATTATTTTAACAAATTACTTTTACTGTGCTAGCCTTGAAAATGTTCGCATCAATAGAAGAATTAATTTTTGTTATACTCGCTCCAAAAGTTCAACTTTTAAGCGCTGGGTGGCGTCCGAAAAGATACTCATTTCTAGAGACTCTACCATACCGCCTTTTTTCCGCGGCCTAGGCCGCAAAGTTTACTTTCCCCTTCTTTTCCGTACTGTCTTTGTGCAATCGGATGAAATTTAGAACAAAATAAATTAAATTCTAGTATACCGACCGATGGATTTTGAGTAAATTTTAAACTTAGTTACTATTGAGTGGCGCTAATTCTTTCTCTGCTGATAGTTTATTACGAAGCGGACCAAATGTTAATAAACTAGCAAGCGCGTTATAAATAAATATAAATAAAAAGATAATTAATATAAAATTAAGTTTTTTTGCTCTTGTGAAACTTCATAAAGTTTGAATGTCATTATTTGCCTCCTATCCCTCAAAAGTTAAACTTATGGAGCGATAATAACAAAAAATATTGTATGTCATTTGGCCACTAAGTGGTGATTTTGACAACGACGATTTTACGATATTCGTTTTAAAGTTTGTGACGCGAATTTACGAAAATGAGCGTAAATTTCCGTCCTCGGCTCCGCCTCAGACGTTAAAATTCCGCCCGTTTTCGTACATTCCCGCCACGAACCTTAAGCTCATATCGCAACATCGTCGTTGTCAGAAAGTCGTCACTTTGCGGCCATATGACATAAATTACTATTTTTTGAAAAATTCATAACTTTTTTTGGGTTGGATAAAAAAATTTGAAAAAATTCTCAAAAGTGTCTTTCAAAGGGTAGAAAAGAATAGTAAAGTTTCAACTAAATCTAAAGGGGTCGGGTTCAAAAGTGGTCGATTTGGCATGGAATACCCCATATACTTTCAATAGTAATGTTGTGATGAAATCACCCAGGTAATCAGTCATGGGCATTGAATAATTATCTTTCTTATTCTAAACTGTGCTATCAAATGTATTGCAACTGAAAATCGTCACCAAGCTTATTAGAATTATTCCCCAAATATTTAAATTAACATAAACATTGACTAAATTTTACGTAGTAATATTCATGAAGTATAAAATTAGTTTAGATAAATTAATATATATAGTCATCGTAATATTATACGTTTTGAACTGAACATCATCACAAAACTTATTAAAATTATTCCACAAATATTTAAATTAACATACATGACTAAGTTTCAAGTAGTATTCATGAAACATAAAAACTGTGATAAAATTATAGGGATAAAATTATAATTGAATCATTTTAAATCATAACAGGTGACAGATATTCAAGGAGTACTTAATGATTAGAAATGATTCGACATCATTAAAAATTTTTAATCCTAACACAACCATTTTGAATCATTCCATATTAGACAAAAATTTTTAAAGTTTTTTATGATTAAAAACAATTCAACATGATTAAAAATTTTCAATCATGACTTAATCATTTTCAATCATTACAGATGTCAAAAATTCAACGATTATTTTATGATTAGAAAAGACTCGATATGATTCAAAATTTTTAATCATTTTATATTCTGTCAATTTCTCAGTATTTGAAATGATTTATAATGATTAATTGTAAAATTTCAAAAATGATTTACATAATTTGGTATGATTAAAAATGATTAAAAAATTAATCATTTTTAATCATTTCAAATCATTTTGTTTAATCAGGAATTATTTTTCTCTTAATCACGTTTGTCACCTTTGGTTTTAATTTGTGAATCTAGATCATTAATTGTTTTAATTTTAGCTGAAATCAGATCATCGAGATGATTGTTATCATTATTTTTCTTCTGTATCTGTACGTCTACAGTTTCAGTTGTTTGTGTTTTTTCCGCGATAAGATTTCCGAGGCGATCAATTTCTTGAGATTTTTCTTTCATTTGAAAATCTAGATCTTTATTTTTTTGTATTTTCACGAATATTTCACGGTCAAGAAAATCACGCTTCTCAGCTTTGGTTTTAATTTGGGAATCTAGATCGTCATTCATTTTGGTTTTTTCTGAAATTAAACCGTTAAGACGACTGTAATCATTATTTTTTTCCTGTATCTGTACATCTATAGTTTTAATTGTTTGTATTTTATCCGCTATAAGATTTCCGAGGCGATCAATTTCTTGAAATTTTTCGTTCTTTTGAGAATCTAGATCTTCTAATGTTTTTCTTTTGGACGCTATTTCTTCCTGTAACTCAATATGTCCATCTTCTTTCAACGAGCTTTTCATTTTTTCAGGAGTTTTGACCTTATCTTCAGGATCATTAATCATTTTCATTATTCGTGGCCATAAAAATATCATTAATATGATAATGACTAATATGATAACTACAAATAAAGTAAACCATAATTTACTATGACACGATTTTTCTTTCACTTGATCTTTCATTTTATTTTCCATTTTTCAGTTTCGATGTATCGATAATTTCGTTGCCTTCTACAATAATTCTTACAGATATTCTGTGGTTACGACAATTACGTGACGCATTACATATTTGTATCAATACTATTGTAGTAATTATTAATATGAGTCACAAAATAGTTTTGGTCGATTAATCAGTAGACATTTACTATATGAATAAATTTACTATTATCAAAAGAAGCACTTATGTTTAGTAGTACAATATATCATTTGACATTGTCAATTTCATATTTTCTCTTATTAAGTACTCTAGCCACGCGAATTCTGTGATTATCAACTCATGCAACATTTTATTTTAAAAAATTAGGAAATAGTTTGACCCTAATAAAGACCATCCCTGCAACCTCCCACTAATTCCATACTTAACCGCTCAAAATCGCACTTATTACGTTACAATATTGCCATAAGATTTAGGCTTAACCATATTGTCCTGGCTGTCTGTAGCTGGTAAAACTTTTCGTGTTGTTCGACGTCACCATTTAGGTAATAATCTAAAATAATTTATGGTGATGTTTCACAAACATTTTCTGTTGAAACATTGCAACATTAATACATATTATAATGTTGTACGCTGAGTTTCTTATTGCAAAAAATAATTAAACAATAATAATATGATAGTTTTATTAGCTGCGCATTTGGCCCCTTAAATTAAATTAATTGAAACAATAAACTAAACAAAATGAAATCTAAATTAGTAAATAAAAGGGTGCCACCAGGATTTTTAATCACGGTTCCTGGAACCGGAATCAGAGCTGAGCTTATCTTACAGGGAGAGAGAGTGGAGGAAGGTCATCTGAAATAAATAAATTTTTAATTATAACAATATAACCGGTATTTATTAATAACAAAATTAATTAACAAATTGCGCACACTCACACTCACACTATAATCAACTTAAAACTATAGCCTTAACAATGCTGCTAGTCCTCTACCCGGCAAATCATCAACAAGTAGAGAACGTAGTAGTTAACTAATTACTAACTAAACGACCTAACACACTAACCAACTCAAGACTACAGCCTAACTAACGGCTGACCATATTAACTCTAATGTTATAGCTTAACTAACGGCTAACTAGATTAACTTGACAAAACTAAACTTTTAACTATCAACAAGACACCTCGTACAAAGACATCAGTGCACGAGAGCTCATCAACAACACCCATCTACAGAAGCTTCAGCCTAGTGAACGCAGCGTAAGCTGAGACTGCCTCCAGCTCACATACATACCCTTAACTAAGTATAGCCAGCGAAACACCTCACACAGAGACTGTCGTATGTGAGGGGACGCCGTTAGCAAAGCAAACAGTTTCAGTTCAGTTGCTTATAAGTTATTCTGCAATTTGACGTCAAGACTTGCTGTGCAAGTATTTCAGTGAAGTTGCAGTAAAATTCGACCGAAATTTAACTACAAATTTGATTGTTAACTTGCATTCAAATTACGACCGTAGATTTTCGTCAATTTGTTTACAACTGTTATTCAATGAAGAATTACCATAAACTTGATGTTAAGGTAGTTGTAGCGTGAAAGGCATTTCAACAGAAAGTTATGAAATTTTTTTTATCGAAAGATAAATATATTAATAATTCATTACCAAAATTTCAGATCAATTGACCGCACTGTTTTCGAGTAATTACTTTTCGAAATCGCATCTTTTACACGTAGAGGAATAGAGAGATCGTAAAGATAGTATGAAATCT